CGTCGCTGCTAACAGGATCTACTTCGCTGATATTTGTCTGATTCGTACCTCATCTTTGCCATCCACACACGTCAATTTTGTCCTTCATGAACTGGCACTTTTAAAATCTTAAGTTCCAATTTTAAAAAATTCTTTAAAATTTCTTTTTACCCAAATTTAAAATTTAAAATTTAAAATTCTCAGAGTTACTCGCCCCACGTCTATAATGCTGCAGCGGCTACTTCTTGTTTTTAGCACTGTACATGTGTTATTCTGTGTAGGCTCCCTGTCTGCGTACCGCTGCTTATCTGTACTACACGTAGTAAATTCAAACCTAAGCCGCGCCATAGCTTAAGCGGTTAGTCGCTGGCTTCCCACCGCGACGGCCCGGGTTCGATCCCGGGTCTGCTCAAGTTTGATTTGTGGTGGACAAAGTGGTGCTGGTGCAGGTTTTCTCCGAGTACTTCGGTTTCCCCTGCCAATCTTAATTCCACCAATTGCTCTTGACGTTGTGAACTGAAGAGTTTTAAATGTGTCCGCTTTCCCGGAGAAACTTATGCCCTACTTTTATTTGGACAGACTCTATCTACCATGCCATGCACGTAAGTGAAATTAAACAGGAAGTCGCAACAAAGCTGTGAAGAGGGGAAGAAAATGTGATGCACTCAGTTTTAAAGCGCATTGATCGAGACGGACGGTGAGAAACGTCGTCTGCTGTTTCGCTTGCAAGGCGAGGCCATTTTATTTTCAACTGCTTTAGAACAATTGACTGCTCCATTACCAACGGATTCTGCTATGTCATGTCTTCTTTCATTAAAACAACACACAATTCATTTTGTTGGACTATGATGCTAATCGCCGGTCACGGTAGCCGAGCGGTGTAAGACATGCACTGTCTTCGCTCCTTCGGAAGCCAGGATCGTGGGTTCGAATCCCACTCAGGGCATGGATGCTTAGTATGTGGGTGTGGGTGTTTTTCTGAGTTTGTGTACAAGAAGAGGCCTTGCGATGAGCTGATCACCCGCCCAAGGAGTCCTACAGAATGTCTAAGATCTAGTAAACCGAAGTGAAACGGAGACTTTTATGAAGGTAGGCCATGGCCAAAATTGGGGCTGTAGCACCAAAGAAAAAAATTATGCTAATCGCCGATCACAGAGGCTGTGCGGTCTAAGGCATGAGTCTTCGCCACTTCAAGTGCTGGGATCGTGGGTTCCAATACCATTTGAGGCATGGATGTCCATGTGATTTTATTCTGTCTGTGATATCCAATGTGCAGGTATCTGCGACGGTCTGATCCCCCCTCAAAGGAGTCCTACCGACTATGTAAAAGATTAAGAAACTGAAAAAGCGACCAAGGTCCAACAAATGACTCTAGAGTCATAGATAGATAGATTATTCTAATCAGTTCACTTATGAACACATTTGAACACGTTCTAAAGTTTGGCCCTCTGTGTAAGCAGCACCTTAAGAAGACCCATAACCTTCAGCCCCATAAAGCTCCGCCCATTTTGGACCTTGATACTGGGCCGAGGTGGGTGGTAGCTGGGATAAAAATGTTATCCTTTGCTATGGTCCGAATTCGATCTCAGATCAGATCATGTGGGATTTGTTGTGAGAAAAGTGATATTGGGTCAGGCGTTCTCCGAGTACTTTGGTTTCCCCTGCCAATTCTTATTCCACCAACTGCTCCATATTCATTCATCATCCTACCAGTGACGCCGTGGAGTCTCGTTACTGATAAGGCCGCGAAGTAAAAAACTAGAACGTTATCCCTGATGAGAATAAAATCGCCGTTTCCGAGACTTGACAGACTGAAACCTCGTCTCGGTAAATTATAGGCCATTATGTGTATCAAATGCTATTTAAGAGTGACGCAGGTGGGTTTGGAACAAGTGTACACGAATTACACTTTCTAAGAGACGATTAATGGCCATGTCAATAGTTTTATGCATTACAAATATTTCTGTAGCTCTACTGTTTTCCATTCGAACTGCAAGTCCACTGCTTGATTAAAACAGGACTGATTCAATTGTGTAAATAACAAAGGTCCTCTTTTCATACCCTTCATTATGGGCTTACCTGTATATATCGTACCTTGTGTTCTCTAGAATATTAAGCGGTAGTTTACAATCAAACAAACAAACAAACTCCGTGATTTTAGCCACAAGTTAACAGTACCGACCGAGCGACCGCCGCATGTCGGCCAAGTTAGTGCCAACTTTAGCAGACAGAGGGTGATGCGTGGTCAGCGCAATGAATCCCCACGGCCGTTAATCTCGGTTTTCTAGACCGGAGCAGCTATTTCCTTGAAATAGTTCCTCAGTTATTCTCAGGAGGCTGAGTGGACCCCGTTCCAGACCCAGTACTTCTCAGAAAATCTGGCAGCGCCGGGAATCGAACCTGGGACCTCTGAATCTGTAACCAGAAACTCTGACTACTAGACCACACAGGCGGTCGTTAAGCGGCAGTTTAGATATTTAAGTAACTTTTCTTGTGATAAAGTTATTTCTACGGAAGCTACTAAGTACATAACCTGCAGACACAGACATTTTCAGCAAAAGGACGAAAGGGCCTGGGAAATAAATAAAAAGAAAAATAAAAGTCGTTGAAGCAGGAAAGACGAAACGGATCTGTAGATGAAGCACCTGGCATCTTAGGGGGAAAACTTCATTCCCTTCAGCGGAAACAGAGAGCATGCCAATATGAGAGAAATTCTTCACCTGACTTTTATTACGAAATGTCTGCTAAAAGTTGCAGCAAAATGTTGCGATAGAAACACTAACGTTATTATCAGAGGAACAACTCGATGTCTTATGAATGTTGCAGAAAGGGTCGTGCACATTTTGATATTGTCATGTGTATTAAGAGGGTGACTTCTACACGGGTTTTTTTTTTCGGATGATTATATTTATTGCACTTATACACTGAACTCGTAACTAAGACAATGTGGTTGATTTCCATACTACAAATCATTAGGACAATCTGAGTCTTCCCAGTCTTCACTAGTTGTATCCTAGCAACGGATTTATAACAGCCTCGCTCTAACTATAGCATATATAAAGCCTTCAAATCACACACTAAATTTCATCTAACTCGTTGCTATTTCTTTTCAATCATCTTCTACTGTCATCTCAAGAAATTCCCTCAATTATCATTTCTTTAGCTGGTCTGAGATCCTCGTTATATAGCCTCGGGGCGGTTCCAATAGAAAACAACGTTTCCATGAGCTCAACAGTACCTCAACTGTTGCTTGCTTATTACTTGAAGCGGAAACCTTTTTGTTGAGTCGTTACCTAGCAATGGACGTCTACTCCGGCTTTCAGGCGTCATGGCACAATCTTTTCGTGTGAGTCTTATTCTTTTCTCTATCCTTGGGTTGATATTTTGCCATTCTTAGGAGCCGTGAAAATTTCGCGCCTTATTTCAGTAAATCTATGCGTTTTTTTTTTTTGCACGAAGTTTATGAAATGAGTGTAGATAGGGAACGTCATGTCCATCCGTTTGTTAGTGTCGATCATCTCAAATTAATGAATTCATTTGGATAATAATTGAAGGGGCCTACAGAAATTCTATGGAAATAATTTATATTCTTTTTACTTCAAGACAAGATAGAAACAAATTATTTTCGATGTTAAAATATGCGACTCGTTGTACAAACAAATCGGGTGTCTACGTGGCATAAAAACTCCGTGGCTTTGTACTAGCGAAATATACCGACCGAGCGAACGCCGCTTGTCGGCGAAGTTGGTGCCAAATTTAGTGGATAGAGGGTGTCGAGCGGTCAGCGCAACGGATCTGCACGGCTGTTATTTTCGGTTTTCTATACCAGAGTCACTACTTTGCCATTCAAGTAGCCCCTTAGTTATCGTCACGAGGCTGAATGGACCCCGTTTCAGACACACTACTTCTCAGAAAATCTTGTAGCGCCGGGAATCGAACCCGGAAACCCTGGATCTGTAGCCAGGAACTCTGACCATTAGACCATAGAGTCGGTGAGAGTTATAGTATGTGTGTATGTCATTTCCTGGCACTTACGGTAAATAGTACCTAGGAATTACATGTAATCGTCGGTAATTTTTCGTAGTAGCTACGTTATTCACTTATACCGCAAAGTACACACATGAAGTACATAGTAGAGTCCGGATTATCCAACTTTCGGTCATGTGACAGTACGCTTTAACGGACGTAGCATTTACAGTGATGGGCTGCGAGGCATGTATAGGCCTACTGTTTTGCAAATCTGGGAAACGAACTTCAATCACTCGCTTTTGAAAAAATGTGCATACTACAAATTGTATTTAATTAATTTAAAATCCATTGCTCAATATCTATATAAATATAATTTATTTAATTAATAAGAATTGTTTACTATGTTAGTTGTACAGTAGTAAAAGGTAAAAATGTAGAGTCAATCCTTTGCTTAACTAATTTAGCACTAAGTCATAAAGGCGTATGTGGGAGTGGATGTATATATCCACATTTTCTTGACCTCGGCATTAGTTGGAAGTGAGTTGTCAGCTTTGCGCCTAGGCCGCTTTACCCCCAGGGAAGAGCCCACTGTACCCATTGGATACGAGGCTAGATGGATCCCTGAGCCGAGCTAGAAGACGTGGGGAGGGAAAATTCTAGACCCTACCTGGACTCGAAATCCGATCCTTCGGTCGTCCAGCCCGTAGGCAGTCGCTATACTGACTACGCTGCCCCGGCTCACTGTAGTATAATTACACATATTAATAAACCAGATTTTATACTTATGCAGCATTTTCATTAAATTTTGATTTATTTCCTCCCACTCCTGCCCCCACTCGTTTTCATATTATCGGACATTTTCGTTAACCTGACCACCTGTCGGTCCCGCTTAGGCTGGATAATAGGGGCTGTACCGTATATTGACGTAATTTGAATCTCGTATTTCTGATATCTTTATGTGATAACTATTTCACTGAAATATATTAAGCAACAAATTGTGAGTTTGTTACAGTTAAAATATAAACTTGATCCTGTTCCTAAACAGGACGACATTATGGCGTGTAAAAGGTGTAAAACTTAGGTTCCTGGCAATGCGCAGTGCGCATGCTCAGAACGATATCTGCAATGTTACTGATTCGTAACAAGAGATCTCTATCTGAAATCAGTGAACACCAAGACCAATGTTATGTATTTGATCCACATTTTAATAAATTATCCATGCTTCACAGAGCTACTAGATGTAACGTCGTTGTTTTTTTGTTTTTTTCACTATTGCCCCAGTGGGCCTAGGCCTACCTCCATGAACTTCTCCGTTCACTTCTGTTTTTTAGATCTTACACATTCGGTAGGACTCCTTGGGCGGGTGATCAGCTCGTCGCAAGGCCTCTACCTGTACACATACACAGAAAAACGCACACACATAAACTGAACATCCATGCCTTGAGTGGGATTCGAACCCACGATCCCGGTTTCCAAGCGAGCAAAGACAGTACATGCCTTAGACCGCTCGGCTACCGTGACCGGTCAACGGCGTTGTTCAATTGCTTTTAATTA